AAGAGGAATCAGGCATACCCACAGCTGCCGCTGGTAGTACCTCCGGAGGAAGGGATGCGGCGCAGCTCCCACAGCGAAGTTACTGCTCCCCGTGTCCACCAGGATGTTCAGCTGGGAAGGAGAGACAGGGAGGCTCATGAGTGCAGTGGGACACTCTTCTGTTGTGCCCAGGTAAGACAAAAGGTGGTGGTGGAGCAGGAGGACAGCTCAGAGAGGAGAGAAGGAGGTGGTGGAACAGGACTTGGTGACATCAGGGTGTTGCACAGAAAACAAACACTGTTGGCACTGTGCAAACAGAGTGTGAGCTCTGCTCCCAGCACGGCCCTGCCTCCTGAATCCACAGGCAGGATTCAGCAGGCACCTGGCAGATGTCGTGGAGCAGCAGCAAGACGAGGTGCCCAGGCTGCCCTTGCCAGGAAGTCTAATTTGCTGTCCGAGCGGGTCGGACCGATGGGCACAGCCCCCGTGGATCGCTGTGCCCGCTAATCGCCACCCATATGCTGAGCCCCGCTCCTGGCTCACTCCTGCCTGCGAGGGATTACCAGCTCACAGGCAGGTTTGGCAAACATCCCACCAGCAGGGCCAGGAGCAGGCTAGTCAGATCCTGCCCCCAGCTGCCCCCTGCCCACAGCCCCTCCGTCCGGGGTGGGAGCAAGGCTCCCGGCTGGGTGGGACGGCAGTGCTCAGCATGAGCCCTGACCCCAGCCCCAGGGGGCACCTCCCCGGCCAGCAGCCCCAGGGCCCTTAATCTGTGCAGTCAGAGGGGAGAGGAAGGCTAATGCGCTTGTGCTAATCGCTGCTGAGTGCTCCCCGTGCCCCCTGACAGGGACTGGCACATCCTGGGTGCCCCCAAACACGGGGAAGAGCCCGCCCCCAGCCCCTGCCTGCCTTCCTGCCTCGGGGAATGTTTCAGGCCACGAGTAAAGATCAGAGCAGCATGTTCATCCCTCCAATATCCATTCTGGGCGACTGCCAGCTCAGCGCCCGCTGCGCGGCCTGACCTTCCCCGGGCAACCTGGCACCTGCGCCATTCCCAGCGCTATTCCCAGGGCTGTGGGTGGATCATCAAGGGCCACCTGCTCCACACAGCTCATCTCCAGTCCCCAGGGCACGCCGAGGAGACAGGTTTCCCTGGAGAAGGATTTGCTGAGCCGATGCTGCAGGGAGAGGAGGCAGTGTGGGGTTTGCTCTCGCAGGCTCCATCCTGCTGACAGGGTCACGCACAGGACCCACGTGGGGAGGACACGGATCCTCGAGACTCAGCCCAGCCATCCATTCGGGCCAGGACATGGCACGTGAACTGGAGAGGCCAGGACATGTGTGGCAGGGACACTGCCTGAAACCTGTCCCTGGAAGTGACAGCCCCTCCGGGCACCTCGGCAGCAGCACTGGCTCTGTGCCACGCGTGTCCTAGTGCTCCATGCTGCTCCCGGGGCACCAAGCCTGTGCCATCTGTCCCAAAACACAGGCTCCCAGTGCTTGGCTCCCCCCTCTCCCCCGTGTGTTTATGAATCAGCCCGTGTTGGGAAACCAACATGCTCCGGCACATGGGGTGTGTGAGCAATCAGCTGCTGACGGTGACTTGGCAGTGCAGCACAGCTCAGACCCAAATTGAAGTGCAGGAGAATATACAAACTTCCTTGTCAGCACCAGGAAGGTGAAAGGAAAGGTGAGGAGATGGATCACCATGTCCCCACTGCATGTGTCCCTTTGGGAAGGATGCACAACCCCCTGGACAGTTTTCTTCCTGATTTCCTGCAGAGGCACAGCCAAACTCTTTCATATGAATCTTTTAATTCCATTGCAATGCCTGGAGGGATTTTTCTCCAACACACACACACACACACACACACACAGGCACCACGTTCACATTTGGAAGCAATCCAAGGCTGGAAGATGCTGCCCAAAAGGGTGACTGGCTCGGGAATGCACGAGTGCCTGGGAACAGGTGGTTCGCACGGAAATTATCTGGCAGCTGCGACACGTGGCAGGCAGGAGATGATGAAATCACATTTAAAACCAGATTTCAGACATAATCTCCTCCCTCTTTTTCCCCCTAAACACACCCTGCCAGAGCAAGAATAAATCCAGGC